CACCTCAGCCTCCCAAAGGCGCGGGATTACAGGCTGAGCCACCGAGCCCGGCTCACTTACTTTTTAAAATAACAATTTAAAATTAAAATTTTAGATTATGAAATGTACCGTTTGTACAAAAGAATATGTAATATATGTACAATTGAAAGAATAATGAGATGAAGGTGCATGTGCTGTCCATCAGGTTTGAGCACATAGTATGTTTTAATCTAATGGTTTCCAATCAGGAACGATTTTGTCCCTGAGGAGACATTTGCCAACGTCTGGAGACATTTTTGGTTGTTACAACTTGGAGGATGTCATGTGTAGTAGACACCAGGGATGTTGCTACATATCCTCTGGTACACAGGACAGCCCCCACCACAAAGAATTATCTAGTCCAAAATGTCTGTGCTGAGATCAGAAACCCTGTTTTAACTCAGTGACAAAAGTAACAGCTTACACAAAATACTGTGGGAAACAAACAAAAAGTTGAGCTCAAATTCAGCCACTCAGGGACAGAGATAACCTTTTTTTTTTTGCGTTGGAGTCTCACTCTGTCACCCAGGCTGGAGGGCAGTGGAACACTCATGGCCATTGCAGCCTGAACCTGCTGGGCTCAGGTGATCCTTCTGCCTCAGCCTTCGAAATAACTGGAACTACAGGTGTGTGTGACCACACCTGGCTAATTTTTTGATTTATTGTAGAGATGAGGTCTTGCCACGTTGCCCAGACTGGTCTCTCACTCCTGGGCTCAAGCAATTCTCTTGCCTTGGCCTCCCAAATTTCTGGGATTACACGTGTGACCCACTGTGCCTGGCCTTAATTTATTTTTATTACCAGAGAGTATTTCATTGTATGGATGTACCACATTTCATTTTTCTAATTATCAGTTTCTATTTATCATTTTCCACTTTTTGGTCATTATGAATACTGCTGCTGTGAACATTCATGTACATGTTTTTGTGTGGACATATGTTTTTATTTCCTTTGGGTATATGCCTAGGAATGGATTGCTGAGTCATGTGGCAATTCTTTTTTTTTCCCTTTCCTTTTTTTATTTTAAAGATATGGGGTACAATTCGGGATTAGATATACAAGTGGTCATTGTACAGGCAAAGTTTGGGCCTCCCTTTGGTTTGAGATCAGGTACCCTTTTGAGGCCCTCCCCATGTGGCAGTTCTTATGTTTAATCATTTAAGGAACTGCTGGACTGTTTTCCAAGTGGCCAAACCAGCAATGTGTGAAGATTACAATCCTTCCACATCCCGAGTCAGCTCCTTATTATCCTGTTTTTGATCCTAGTCATCTGAACAGGTGTGAAGTAGCATCTCACTATGGTTTTGATTTGCATTTCCCTAGTGACTAATACTGGTGAGCATCTTTTCATGTGCTGATTGGTCATTGGTATCTCTTTTTTGGAGAATACCTCTGACTTCATAGCCCCTGGAGATACTAGAATTGCTCACAGTCCTAAGAGGTTTCCCACTGCAATTTTTTTTTTTTTTTTAGAGTTGGAGTCTCACTCTGTCGCCCAGACTGGA